ACATCCTCCATAGTGGGAGATGAACCAGCTACCTCCCTCCATTTCCTCATCGATTCTCTCTTAGTTTCTTCTTTCTCTTTTTCTCTTTAATCTGATTTTTTTCCTTTCTGTTACTAATATGTTGTGATGTATTTCTTTTCTATAGTCTTTGTTTGCATTTGGCGATTTGTGATATATTGGCGATATTACTAACCTTGCTATTTCCAATGGTAGAAGGAGAAAGAATTTTACTTCATTGGTGGAATTGGAGGATAGATAATTACAAATCAAGAGGATATTGCAAAGGCCTTCATGGATAATTTAAAATCAATTTATAGAAGGCCTTTAAATGGAAGATGGTCAGTAGATGGCTTAGATTGACCTGTTTTGGGAAGATCTAATAATCACTCCCTAGTGAAGAGGTTTGGGATGGAAGAAATTAAAGAGGCAGTGTTTTCTATGAATAGATCTAAGGCACTAGGCCCTAATGGTTTTATGATGGCTTTCTATCGAGATTGTTGGGATACAAGGATGATCTTTTTAGTGTTTTCAGGGAATTTCATAGATGTGGAAGAATAAGTTTGGGAATGAATTCTACTTTCATTGCCTTGGTGTTGAAGAAGGTTGATGCTAGTCACCAAAGAGATTCTAGGTTGATTAGTTTGGTTACTAGCATTTATAAAATAATTGCAAAGGTTTTGTCATTGAGGATTATTAAAAGAGTGCTCCCTTTGATTGTTACACAATTTCAAGGGGCCTTCATCTAGGAAAGGCATATTGTAGACCAAATTCTTGTAGTTAATGAATGTKTAGAGGCGCAAAAAATATCAGGGAGAAAAGAAGTGGCAATAAAGCTTGATTTGGAGAAGGCATATGGCYTTGTGGATTAGGACTTTCTACTTAGACATTTTGAAGAATTGTGGTTTTAGATATTTGTGCTGTAAATGGATTGAAGGATCTTTACAAACCTGTCACTTTTTCAATAACTGTTAATGGATCTGTGAAGGGTTTTTTGGGTTAGTACGGGGTTAGAGGCAAGGTGATCCCTTTATCCCCCTTTGTCTTTACTTTAGTTGCAGATGTGTTGAGTAGACTGATCTCGAGAGTTGACAGATTGCATTTATTGAAAGTATGGACTATTGGAAGAGATAGGGTTGTGGTAAATCATTTACAATTTGTGGATGACATAATGATTTTTTGTGATGGAGAGAATAGACAATGGTTTGAGAACTTGAAGTTATTGCTAAGCTTGTTTAAAAGAATGTCCAACCTAAAGGTTAATTGGGTAAAGAGTGTGGTAGCAGGCTAAATCAAGATGAATTAAGATCTTTGGCAGAGACTTTAGGTTGTGAGTGTGGGGAGTGGCATTGAAAAAGTATCTAGGCTTATCTTTGCTAGCTTTTGGACTCTGGTGTTAGAAAGGATAGAGAAGTGATTAGCTGTTTAGAAGAGGATCTACATCTCTCTAGGGGGCGGGTTAACTTTGATTAAGTCCACATTAGCAAATCTTCCTGTGTATTACATGTCGGTGTTTAGGATGTCTTAGGTGATAGTGAAAAGGATTGAAAAGATGAGGGATTTTTTTTTGTGGGAATTAGGGGAGGGAAAGAAAGATCATTTGGTTAGATGGGAAAAGGTGACGAGGAGGAAGGTGGTTTGGGAATAGGTAATGTGAGTGAGAAGAATCTGTCTCTGTTGGTAAATGGTTGTGGAGACTCACACTAGAGAATGAAAAACTTTGGCATAGTGTGGTAATTAGCATTCTTAGGCCTCCAGAGAGGTTGGGAATTTGGTTTGTTGCACAGAGCTACCCATGCTACACCTTGGAAAGCCATACATGGTGATCTTCCTTTGTTTCTCAATCATATTAGGTATGATTTGTCCTTGGATAATAAGGTTAAATTTTGGGAGGATGTTTAGATTGGGGAGTCTCCTTTAAAAGACCTGTTTCCCTCACTGTATATACTATCCATCCTCAAAGGGAGACTTGTATTTGATTTTATCAACCCTCTTCTTCATCCTTTGGACTGGCTTGGAATTTAGGCTTAAGGAGGAATCTTAGAGATTATGAAATTTCCATTCTGTCTAACCTTTTGAACCTATTGGGTGAGGTGGCCCTTGACGATTCTGTTGGGGATGGTTGTGTGTGGTCTCTTAATATTGCTGGCAGTTATTCCTGCAAATCCTTTTTTAATTCCTTAGTGGCCACCCTTTTTTCCTCAACCTTCCCTGTGAATTAAGTTTGGCATTATCCTATTCTGCCAAAAATTAGTRCCTTCTGTTGGGAGTTTTTCATGGATGCACCAACACATGCGATTTGCTACAAAAGAAAAGACCAATTGTCTTTTGTTCCCTAGATGGTGTGCTGTGTGTAGATTTAATGGTGAGACTGCCTACCACCTCTTAATCTCCTGTCCATTCCTTTGTTGTATTTGGGAATGTTTTTCTACTCTTCTTGGATGGTGGAAACCCCCTCTGCTGGTTTGGACAAATTGCTCACCTCATCTGTGATGAGATGCACAAAAAGGAGGGGCAGAATCATGTGGAAATACACAAGGGCAGAGGTGATTTGGACAATTTGGGAAGAATGGAATGCAAGAATTTTTCATGAGAAACAAAGAAGTGGGGAGGTATTCAGTGTTTAGGAAACTGGACTGGATCAGCTAGTCAGACTGGTTGAACCATGACCTGGCCCTATATCTGGTTTGGTCATACCCTAGAAAGCAGAGTAGGTAAAAAATCACCCAAAACCAGTTGACTAGCCAGTTCAACCAGAAAACTGGTGAATCAGTCTTGGTTTCTAGGTATTGCCCAGGTCTCAAATGTGTGGAATTTTTAAAATGCAAATGGGAAGATTCAAACCCATGACCTTTTTTCCACTCATTGTCTTGTTACCATTAATCTACTTCATTAATTGTGTTCATTTATGAATCTTTAGTGTACATATTGCATTAATAGACATGTATATTCTAAAGAAAATGTGAGTTGGGACTTTTGAATCCTAGTCAATTACTTTGAAGAGCAAGCCATCTATCCACCACATTCAAGTATAATATATTATTTGTAGTATTTAAGTGACCCATGGTATATATGTATATGCCATGTCATCATGGTTCGACCTCTGGTTTGACCATGGTTGAACCTCTGACCCGTGAAGCCCTTTTGTGTTTCTATGTTTGGCCCGGTTCTTTGAACATTGGTATTAATTGAAACCATCAATGTAAGAGTAGCACAATGGTTGAAGACTTTGGTATTGCTCTCAAATTTCATTATGAAAGATATCTTTAAAAACCAGGGAACAAGAGCAGGGTAATCCTCTTAAGAAAACAAAAATAAAAGAAGATTGGAGTCCTCCAAACAAAGGGTGGGGAAGTTGAACTTCGATGGCAGTAACATGGGTAATCCTGGGCCTTCTGGGATTGGGGGACTGATAAGGGATGAGAATGAACATATCTGTGTAATGTTTTCAGGTCCAACAGAAGGTGATTCAGTAAGGGAATAACTTWAGGTAGAGTAGTGTTTGGGGTACAAAAAGATAAAGAAATAGGGGTTGAAAGGATGTTCATAGAAGGGGATTCAAAGGTGGTAGTGTGGTGATTAATGAAGGAAAAGAATGTGGTCTGGAATTTCAGTAATGAGCCTATACAGTTCAAATGGTTTTTGAAAGATATGCAATTACAAATTTAGATGTAAAAAGGTTTAGCTAAACAACGGGTGAATAGACAGCAAATGTTTTGGGCTCAAATGTAAAAAGGTGATGGGTTATATCTATAATGTGTATGTTTTCTTTTTAACCCACAAACACTTGTATCTCTCTTAAATTTAATGAATGAATTACTTCTTTGTTGCTGATAAAAAAACTCTACCTATGTGGTGAGGTAATGACTAGGCGGTGCCTAGACACTGTCTGGTTGACAAAAATTGATCTGTTCTAAATTTAATATATTGATGCATTCCCATAATTAATATTAGATTTCAAATATGCATTAAAGAATGATACAAAAAATTTAGTTAAGAGTCTTTTTTTCTAGAATAAAAAATTGAGGGCTACATAGGCTGAGATAGGGACTAGGGAGTCACAGCCTAGGTTGACTAGTTATTAATGAACTTAGTTGACCTAGTTCATGCTTAGCTGTCTCAGGCAACCACATCATGAATATCACCAGMGAGTTAATGATGCAGTCCAACTGGCCTTCAACTGATTTGTCTGTTGATTAATTGATGACTGATTGTGATTGAAACGTTGTATTTACTGATTAAAGCTCTCCTTTCCCCTCATGAATAGGAATGGCAATGGGGTGGGGACCATACTCCCCATCCCTGTATTTCTTTTAATTAAAATATTTTTTTTGGGACAAAGATTTACTTAAAACAAAGAAAAATTTTGAAGTATAATAATATTTTAAAGGGTGATATCTGAAACATACAACCTTCTTTTGGAAGTATTACATCCATTTGAAGAGTGGTTAAATTAACTCCTATTTTCCATAAAATTAACAATTAATATATGAATTATGAAATATGGGTAACATTTTTTCAATTTTTAAATCCTGCAATTTAAGGTTGATTTTTTATAGAAATATTTTCTAAATAATGTTGTATTATATTATGTAAACAAAGAAAAATTTAGGTAAGGATGTTAACATCTATCATAAAACCAGGTGGAGATGTTAGTATCAAAAACAACACGAGGTTCTGAATATGGAGAAATTGTTAGGAAGTCCATTTATTGCAGCTGCACCATGGTTATGGCATATTGGTGCAGCACTGACAAACATCAAAATGCAAATAGATTGGAGCATGTAGTTCTCTTAATATATATWACAAGGTTCTTTTACGTCTTCCTGTTGGTATTTTGGAACCTTCCACTTGCATTTGATTATTTCCTTATCCCTAGTACTTCAGTTGGTTGTAATTCTGCAAGRCCAAACCATCTCAATCTACTTTAATTAAGTGGTAATCATTTCTCTATAGAACATAGGCTAATCTTATAGTTTCCCAATCAAAATGTTCTGTTGCAGTTTGTTAACTTCACAAAGATAATGTCCGAGAACAAAGAAATGTCAAAGAAAGAAGCAGCCTTTGCACTGGCTGCACTCATGGAAATTCCTTTTCAGTATAGAGCCACACAGAGCTCAAGTAGAGAGTAAGGCCAGAAACAACAATCCAGTCAATTTTTAGCTAAAATTATAGCATGGAAATTGCTAAGCCTTGGAGTCATCTTCTCATGCAGAGGGGTGGAAGTTGGGACGCCTCGTACAACACCACTTCCTCCTCCACGTGAAGTGATCGATCATGACAGCGCAGTTAAAACATACCCCCACATGACAAGCTTTCAACCTGTTGAGGAGTCAACCACAAGCTTTCAACATGTTGAGCCTGTTGAGTCAACCACTACAGAGCAGGTAATTTTCAGTTTCACATGCTAGAATTRTATCTTCATACTGGCATATTGTTCTGAGAAATTTTTTGGTCTTTATTCAAGGTCTGCGCTATATGCTTGACAAATCCAAAGAACATGGCATTTGGATGCGGTCATCTGGTAAGCATTTCCTGAAGCTCTTATATAAAGTTRGTGTCAATATGAAGTATACAATATAGAACCATATATATTAGAATGCAAAGTATTTATACCTTTTTAGGTTTTTTTGGTAGAGATGCATATTTTTTTAGGTTGGAACTTCTTTTTTATTTTTCTTAATTAGATTTCAACATACCCAATCCTCTTCCAGTTGTCACTAGGAATTGGGTTCTGCTTTCAGAAGACAGAACTCAAGATGCAATTCAATTAACTAATCTGTCTTATTTAAAATGTGCATGAAAAACACATGCATGTAGCTGCGCATATTACATATTCCTGATATTGCCCTGCCATTATTAGCAGAGTTAAACTTATTACATCTGTTTTCTGTTTTTCTTATTCAGACTTGCAAGGATTGCGGTGCAAACTTGACATTCTGCCCTATGTGCCGTGAGCCAATAAGAACACGGATCAGATTATATTCATGAGCAGATGGTTTCTTCACCTGCCAAAGGCTTGGGACTATGTTCTTGTGTTGTAGAAATGTGAAATAATTGAACTAGCATAGCACTCTCCAATATTTCATTTATCATTGAAAATCTAGATAGTTCAGTGTAAATTACCAAGTGATCTGGAAACTTTTTATTGTTTAATTCTGTTTATCTACAAATGGTTTTATATAGGATTGGATTGGCAACACTACCAACAGCAACTGCATCATATTTTGGTTGTATTTGAACTGAACAAGATTCTGAAAACAGTTGCATTGTGCTAAAATGCAGGAGTTTTGGCCTGTATCTAGGGTACACGGGCCAGGTTGGTTTGGTTGCAAGCTTTATGACCAAGACCAACCAAACCGACCTGGTCAGGTTGGTGAATAGGGAACCRAAACCGACTGACCATGAGGGAAAACCGACCCAAACATGAATGGTCRGTTTGGATCAGTTTTTCGGTTTCGGTTTGATCATCAGTTTGGGAGATGACCATTCACGACATCTTTCTAGAAAATTTGAAGATATAATAAAAGGTTTTAAGTCAAACACTGTTTAATAGGCTGACTCTATAGATAGTGCCTATAGGCTGCTGGTTCTGTATAGATGAAAGAGCTAAGTTTCTGTTTTGGTGTACGAATTTCCAATTTCAAAACTAATGCAAAAAAAGGTATGTAAACTGGAGTCCAACCGTTCAAATTCAATAGACTTATGTTATTCTTTAGGGTCATTTATTAGAACACCTCTATAATTTCATGATTTATTTAAACCCGTCTTATAGTTTTCATTTTATTAAAACATCCCTATAGTTTGTAACCTATTTATATAATTGACCTTTAACTAAGAAATGTTTGTTTGCCATCTGAAAATAGTAGCATGATCACCTAAACTGAATGAAAAATGTTCAAGGGCAAGGGCCCATGATTGTTTATTCCAAAATTGCACTTAAACTTTTTCATACATAAAACAAACCAAATACAGCCAAATAGAGTGGTTGTTCACTTGTTTGTGTTTTACTAAGGGCAAAAATGATATTTT